CTTTCAAACTTAGCAAAGGATTAGTTTTCAAACTTTGCAAACTTAGCAAAGCGCAATCTATTTATCTGTCAACTAGCAGCTTCGCTGCCAGCCTTCTTCTGGCTTTTAAATGTACCGGAAAAATAGCTGAAGGGAACACCAAACGTTAAACTTGAAAACTGCGTAGAGTTTTACTCTGCAGAACACCTTCATAAAAAAGTTATTACGTATAACAAAATTACAATTAAATATGCAATATCCCTTAATACAAATATTAATTATTCTAATAAATAAATTAACCAACTTCCCTTTACAAAATCTTAAGAACTCAAATGGTATAAAGGAGGTTAAATACTTTGTTTCCTAAAAAAATAACTCAAAACTTTTCAATATCAAAGACAAATAAAAAATTAACCAACTTTCCGTTGAAGAAAAAGCATCATGCAAAACTTTTCAATATCTTACAAACAGTGAAATAAGCAAAAGATAGCATGAAAGCAACTCAAAAAACATAAAATTCCGCGCAGAATTTTACTCTGCAGAACAACTTTATCAAAAAAATCAATAAGTATGTATTATATATATATATATAAATGACAATGAAATATGCCAATTTCTTAAAAACAGTGACATAACAAATACGATGAAAACTTGTTGCCAAACCCATATTTCTTAAAGAATGAAACTATTCAAAATGATGCGATTTCATCAAAAATCTATCAACAACAATAAGACAGGAAAATTGTTGCCAAAATCACATTTTTAAAGATGTGAGATGTGAGAAGTGTACTAGGAAGCTTACTTCACATCTCACATCTTTAAAAATGTGATATATATATATATGATATATTTAAAACCTTTTTTAAAAATACAAAATATTATCATTTTTCCAAAATTCTTTTTGTGAAAAGCAGCATCGCAAGGATGAAAGTTTTAACGTGTCCACAAAATCAAAGAAAAATAAACTGTACATTTTTAAAAATAAACTTTTTTAGAAAAAAATCCCGTTGAAAAGGTGTTAAGCTCCCTTTGTTAAATAAATTCGTATTTAATCGATTTATTGAAACACGAAATTTATTTTAAGTTTTAAGTTCAAAAATAGCTAAGAGCCTACGTTTCATGACGATGTGAAAATGGAGTGTGTAGAGTAAAATCTCGCTTTCCTACAGCCCATTATGTCTCAGAATGACGCGATTTCATCACAAAACAAAAAATAAAAAAAATTCTAATTCAAATTTCGAAAAAATCGCTTCGAGGTGCACTGGCTCTTGTCTAGATGCACCTATGTACTAAATTTCGTAGCCGTGGGTCTATTAGCTTACGCGCAGCGCGAACGAATGACACACACACACACACACACACACACAGACAGACTCTTCCTTTTATTATATGTAGAGATGATTAATAAACAAAGTGATTTGAATGCAATAAAATTAACTCTTAATATTTTTTACATTTTTAATAATTTAACCGATTAATTTAAATAAAATGCATTAAATTTGTGATACATTTAATTAATAAGTTTTATCACTATTTGCAGTTTTCCTACTGTCATACGGTATGTAAAGGATATAGAATCGTTTCTGTAAATTCTTAAAGTTTTTTTTAGTGATTAACTCTTCGAGGCGTTACATTACAAACTGCGTACACATTGTTGTATTATTGTTGTGTATTTCTAGTATAGCTAAATTTGCAGTTAATTTTAATAGAAATAAGTATTAGCACGACAATTCAGGTGCTTGTGAGCCCAGAGTTCGGTCTGGCATGAGTAACTCGACAGTCCAAATTAAAAGCGATCGAAGTTTGGTCGCGCAAGCAATTGTTTCTTTAAATTCGACAATATTAAGCTTTGTCATTCTATTAGTTTCCATTCTTCGAAGTTCAGCCATTTAATGTTGTCTGTGTTGTCTACATCTACTGTGTTGTGACTTATCTCACTCTTCTGACAGTAACATCAGAACAAGCCCACGAAGTTCACCGTGACAAGGAGTGTAAAACTGTGCTTGTCGTTGGCAAGAGCCTGGAACACCACACAGTGACAATCCATTTACTTATGATTACAAACGTAACACATTAGTCATGTAAAAACACGTTATCTTATGTTGAATTTAGTCAATAATGGTAGTGAATAAATTATATACAAGTCATATCTCAGAAATAAAGGATGTTTTTAACGTATTATTTATTATATGATTTATGATATAGCTATTGCATTTACAATTTGCTACAAAATAAGCACCAAACAAAGAAGGACATTGACACTATGCTGTAAACGACTTACATATTTATTAGGCAAATGAGATCTGAATTTCCAACGAATTTTTAATTCTAATTAAAATATAATAAAAATAAACTAATATTGACCATTTTAGAGTAATCTGTATTTTTAGCACAGATTTTTAATAAAGATTACAGATAAATTTTAAATTACCAATAAATTAAAATTTATTAGCCTTTATTTTTATAACAATAGTTTTGTATGTTTCAAATAATGTAAAAGCTCAGATTCAAATATATTTTAGAATTATTTAAAAACTTGCGAAGAGTATGACAGTTTTGCGTCAATACGTATTGATATTAGTAAATTCAAATTTTTTGTTTTGTGAATTATTTTATATTAAAAGCAGCGTCAGGTTTATTGAATGATTTGTAAAATTGATATCTCGTTCTTATATTTTGAAATACCATTCTAAAATTTAGAACGTTTAACGATTTTGAATTCAGCAGAACTTTGTCTCCCTTTCATAAAATAAATGCTCAGTAGAAATTACATGCATATTATGACAATAAAGAAATTTACCTCTAGACTGACTATTTTTTGCTTCGAATGCATTTTAATGAGTTTTACTTTATTTGTTCACGGAATGATTGAAGCATCGTTAGATTACAGCTTAAGAGATCACAGCTAACTTGTTTACTTTCAAACACCTTGTAAGGCATTTTCTTCCATTTTACCGTGTGCCTTCATAGTGTAACTAGAAGCACGTCCGACTAATAATCGGGAATTCTGGAATTCGAGTCCCGGGGAGGATATAGCTCAGTTTTCATGTTTTCTGCACTAAAATAAAATGCCTAATGTCTTTACAACCTAACATTAGAAGCTTACTTCACAGCATATAAAAACATATATATTAGTGCATCAATTTTAATAAGTATTTTCCACGGCGAAAAAAGGACTCAAAATGAAAAAAGGAAATAAAATCAAGAGAGTTAATCACTTCGATTAGAACTTGTACACAGACATACATTTAGGAAAAAACCAGCAGCAAATATTCAAACGAATAGAGTATAAAGTAAATAATTTAAAACACAAATATATTCTCGTTAGCAATACTAAAATTTGCCAATTTGTTTTGCAGCTTTGAAGTTCCAAGTTATAATATAATAAAGGTAACACAGTATTCTTTAGCGAAAAACACATTTCTCTTTGCAAAAGGCAAAACCTTTTCACGTATTTAAGCTTCAGCTGTTTAGGAGCTTAGAATTTGATATGTCAACACCAGAAGTTGTTTACTTTCAAGCAGCTGATAAGCAAAAACTTCAGTTTTCAGCTTTTTGTTTAATAAGGAGACATTTTATTTTCTTCAGTAAGAAAATTGTATAGGTACTGAAATTAACGCAGTTATTCCCAAAAGAATGCCGTTTTCCAGCTGAACAAAACAATTTTTTTCTGTCCCCTGTCCCATTTTGATTTATAATAGAAAGTTTAAACAATTTAATACGCTGGAGAATGATAATAAAAGGTACAACATTTAAATTCATAAGAAGCGCAAGTTCATTTATCTTTACCCTAATCCTAAATTTGATCACACATTTAATACAGTGAATGAAAAATAAATATCTGCATAAAACTTACACTTGAAAAGTTAGTATATTTAATATTTAATTAAAAGGTCTGGAGTTCTGAAAATTATTTTGCAGAAAATGTTATTTTATATAAACATGATTATACATAAAATAGGTTTCTAACATCTCCACATGTAATAAAAGAAAGAGTCTGTCTGTGTGTCTTTCGTTTGTGCTGCGCGTAAGCTAATAGATCCAGGACTAAGAAATTTTGTACATGGGTGCATCTAGACAAAAGCAAGTGCACCTGGAAGCGATTTTTTTTCAAAATTCGAATCATATTTTTTTTTGATGAAATCGCATCATTTTGAATAGTTTCATTCTTTTAGAAATGTGGTTTTGGCAACAGTTTTTCATTCAATGATTTGTATACTGGACTGTGGACTGTTGAAAATATGAAATAAAATATTATTAATTATACTTTCCTTTGCAGAGTTTTTTATTTTTGTGTTTTTTTCATATTATTTATTGCTTATTTCACTATTTTTAAGATATTGAAATGGTCTGCATTTTTTTTTAGGAAACAAAGTTCTGAATTTCCTTTATACCATTTGAATTCTTAAGATTTTGCAACGGGAAGTTTGTTAATTTATTTATTAGGATAATTAATATTTTTATTAAGGGTTATTGCTCATTTCATTGTTCCGTTTTTATGGACTTTTTTTGATAAAGTTGTTCTGCAGAGTAAAACTATGCAGTTTTTAAATTTAATGTTTGGTATTCCTTTTAGGCATTTTCCCGGTACATTTAAAAGCCAGACAAAGATTGGCCGCGTAGCGGATAGTCTTATAATAATTGGAGGATTAACAGGTTTCTGATTCTACCTTTTGGAAACTCTGTTTTTGAAAAAGTAAATTATAATATTATGTCAACATTTTCTTTTAATATAGCTTGCAACTTCGCTATGTATTTTTATGCAAAATGATAACGTACATTTTAAATATTTATGTTCAAAACGAAATGTAGGTTTTAAAGTTAAAGTATTTCAACAATAGAGATTTCAAGGGGAAAAAATATTTGATCGGGTTTTCAGTGATGTAGCTCAATAATACAGTGAACAGGCTATTTTTAGACAACTATGCTCCTTCACTCAACGTAAAAGATGTTGTTAGCTCATTAACTGCATGACGTGAAGTGAGAAGTGAGTCATAGAGAAATAATGAATTTTTACGAACCTGCAAATAAAAGGATGCCTACAGGACATCATGACAACCTTCTCGTTGATCACGTGGTGTTGTTGCTCCATAGAGACAATTTGCTCCTTCTTCAGGCACTTAAGAGCGAATGTCTGGTTTTTGTCCTTAACGCTTCGAACCTGAAAAGAATCAGTCGTAAGTGTTTGTTTTGGAAATCGAAAATAATTACTGGCGAGGAAGATTTTTACAAAATATCGCCAGGAAATTCTACTGTATTTTATTTGCAAGGTAGTAATTTTTAGAAAGGACTAGATTGCTTGAATTATGGCAAAGCATGCCGAAACCGAAGTTATCTGTTTAAAGGAAGGGATTTCTAGAGGAAACTGGTTAGTGTTAGAAACATTTTTCCAAAAATTTTGACGTTACAATACTTGGAGTTTCCCAAGCATCTTACGAAGTTTGGAGAATAATTACATTTAAAGAAGTATAAATTTCAGTGGATTTCCCAGCTTTAAATAATATATCAAACGAAAACATGGAAAATGTAAAAAAAAATAGCAATATAGATTTGAGGTAATATTGAAGAAAAAGTGCTAGACCAGTTAGGATAAAGAACATTCTGTCTTCATTGCATGCAAAAGCAACTTATGAGGCAAACAAAATTTATTTGATAATGTCTGGTCGATCTTCTACATTTATTTTTAAAAAAAAACTTCGCTTAGTTGCCAGTTTTCAGATTTTACAGGAAGTCTTCCGGGTTTTTCCATCTTCCGGTCTTCAGGTAAATCAAAGAATCTTCCCGTTTTTAAATTTTTAACCTTCAGTAAGGAAAATACTTCCCAGCGATGAATAAAATTTATTTAATTAATTAAATGTAAACTGTGCAAATTCCACTCCACTTCTATTTATTTTCAACATAATGTTTCTTATTAAATTTTGCTGATTTGAATTCTCTTAATATACTTTCGACATTTACAAAAACTTTTATGGATTTTCAAACAATTTACATGAATTAACAACAATATTTAATTTTGTTTTACATCAATATGTAGTACATTTCTAAAATTTTCTGCAGATTACTCTTAATTTTATTTTCATTGTATCTCAAAGTACACTTTATTAATAAAAGCCTTTCCGTAGCTACTCACGATTTTTTAAATTTAAACGTGTAAGAAAATTACAAAGTGAAATTAGCTCAATAACATAAAATTTAAGATATCTAATTAAATATTAATATATTTTACATCACAACCCTATTGTAAAAACATATTATTAAGTACTTCAAAATTTTGAATCATACATTACAAAGTGAATAAAATCAGTTTGGAGTTATTTTGATATTGCGTCGCCGGGCAACGCGAAAACCTTCTGTAAACTTTCAGTTTTCTAGCAAGAATCATTTGGTATTCCATATTTCAACTCTGAGAGCTATAACACAAAAATGATAGTGCGATCAAAGTAGTTCAGTTTTATTCCATAAAGCGGATTCACAGCACCCATTAGTTTTATTTACGTTATTAGAAAGTATATTTACATTTCAGCCTGTTTTTAGATTTGTTTACTTCGTTACTGCCATTAAGAAGAGACAACATTGGCGATTTATGTTATTTATATTAAAACTATTACACTGGGTTAAAACGGCCCATGGAATACTCAGTGATTTAGTGATTTGCGGAGGTTTTTTGATATTTTTGTCGTCATTATGTACAGGTCCCTTGCCCAAGCACAGCTAAATTGGTTTATCTGCTAAGTTACTCGAAATCATTTTTATTAGCTCCATACAAATTCTATTTCTGTGGAAGATTCGATTAGTTTCATTTGCTTAATTAATATGATCATGATATCATTAAATCTGTCAATCACTATAATAAAAATCTCCACTTCTAATGACCGCTTCATTGTAATGATAGATACGAAGATTTGTAACAAAATTAATAGGTCATTCTTTAAATTTAGCCAGCACTGCGACCACATTCTAAGAAGCTCTGAATTCAATAATTTATATATTTTTTGATTAAGTTATAAGCTTTATGATATAAAATTTCATATTTTTTAAAATTGAAAGTTTATCGAAATTTACTAAGCTTACCGACGAAAACTTCTTTATACCTTTCCCGGAACTAGAACCAGCTTCCCAAAGATCACGTGTTAAACTTACATTACAAGAACACGGGCTGTAGAATACGATAATTTCTTATATTCTCTGCTTGCAAATGAAGTGCCGAAAGAATTACAAGCTATGGCATTTTAAATCAGGTGTTACTGCAGAAATTTTGTTTTGATTTCTTTCGAGCCAAAAGACATCAGAGAATCAACTGTACTCATGCTGATATTCTAACAGCTTGCCAGTTGAACGTGTTACCTTGCACTGTCTTAACGCAAGAGCCCAATGTGCACTTGCCAGGGATGCCCCACGAATATAGGGCTCCCATTCTAATCTGTATAATTTAATTGACTTCCATTAATAGGTTGGTGCTTGTCGTAGGAGTCCAGCAGATTGGTTTGCCCGCAGGTTCAAAACTTTGTATGACAGAACTGGTTCTAACCCCTTACTACACGCAAGAAGGGAAATGATGATTACAAATAAGAAAAAATCAACCTTTCCACACCATTAAACTATTCCGCAAATATACGATGATTTACTTTAGTAGAGACATAAGACATTCACACAAGTCTTTAGACAATTTTATTTTTGGCAAGGGTATTTTAAACACACTTCAAGCGTTCATGCGATGGTTTATCTGTCACATTTGTCATAGTCATAAGACGTTAACGTCATTAGCTTCGTTCACATCTATAGAAAAAGGTCTAAGCCACAGCCAATTAATCTTAAGCCATAGCCAAGTATATTTACGCATGTATGAATTTGCAGCTGACTCAGAAAAATGACCTACCAGCTGTCAGTTTGTGTTTGCCTCCCTGTGGCTGGTCGATTTTTATGCCGTCTTAAGGTAAAGTTGGAATGTTAGAATATTTAGAGGAGTAGCTTAGCAAACTAGTCCAGACTAGTCGGCAGTTTCTTGGACTAAAAAGAACGGAATATTAACTGACAGAAGTTTAATAAGCGAGCATCACTTATAGATGGCCAAGTGTTAAATATAAGTTTATGACTATGTGTCCTCAGATCGCCAATAAATGACAGTAGTGTTCATTTGTAAAACGAAACCGTGGTGTCATAAGCTGTACAAATATATCATGAAGCCAATGATATAATGAAAAGGGAATTAATGACTCTGACCAAATGGAAGTTAAATTCGGATACTTTAAAGAAACAGTTCAAATCAAGTAACAACTTCGTTAGCTTTAAACTGCCTGACTGTAATTCCCCCTCAAAGATTTTTGGACTTCAATGGGATACAATTAAGAATATCTTCTGTTTTAATGCTCAAGACGTTATTGAGTTCATTCTCTCAAATGACCAAACAAAACGTTGTATTTTGAAAGCCGCTTCAAAAATCTTCGATCCGGTTGGGTTTCTTGCTCCATATGTTATTCAAGCAAAAGTTCCGTTACGAGATTACTGACTCTTGATTACTCTGTTACATGAAAGGTGTTGATTGGGATGAAATTATCCCACCAGAACTGCAAGAAAAGTGGAACAAATGGTATAGGCAACTATGCGATCTACCTAATATCCAGATATCTCGGTGGTATTTTCCTGATATTGATAAAACGCCTGAAGCACTGGAACTACATTGTTTTTGTGATTAATCTTAAAGTGCTTACGGAGTAGCAGTGTTCGTGAAATTCTGTAGCTTAAAATATTCTGGAGCAAATTTAGTGACAGCCAAGAGCAGAGTGGCTCCCCTACAAAAATGATCTTTATCAAGACTCGAGCTCATGGCAGCAATGTTAGGTGCAAGACTTGTAACTACAGTCCGTGTGCATTTTCCTCACGCTATTAATGGTAGTATAAAGTGCTTATAATTAATTATTAAGCACTTTAAGATTCATTTATGGACAGATTCTCTTATTGTCCTTCACTGGATAAAGAACTCACCACGGCGATGGAAAAACTTCGTACAAAATCGAGTGTCAGAAATTCAATATAAAACATCTCCGACTATGTGGCTTCATTGTCCAGGCTCAGAAAATCCGGCCAACAAAATCACACATGATGTTAAAATGAATGAGCTTGCAGTAGATCGAGTGTGGTGGCATGGACCTCCATGGCTTGATCAAGATGAAATAAATTGTCCTAAAGTGAACGAGCATTGTAACATAGTAGATAGTGCTGAAGAAAGAGTTGTGACTCAAGTTACCAGCAGTGTTCAACCATTACAACCTGTGTTAAAAATAGAGAACTTTGATGACCTAAATAAACTTTTAAGAGTCACATCATATGTAGTATTTAGAGTCATTAATAATTTAAAGTCACAGAACAGAGTGATTGGTACTGCGTAATGCACAGAATTAGAGTGATTGGTTATGAAATATGTAATGCTATGTATTATTGGATTAACGTATCACAAATGAGTATTTTTTTACAGAATTGAATGGTGTTAAATGTAAAAAACCATTATCTCAAAATTCCAAATTGTTTGGATTAAATCCAGTAATGGATGAAAAAGGTTGTTTAAGAGTTGGAAGTAGATTAATAAAATCATCATTAGATGTCAATGAAATTCAGCCTATAATATTACCAAATGATTATTTTTCTCGTTTAATGATTTTAAACCGTCATGTGAAGGTACTTCATAGTGGTGTCAATGCACTTTAGTGCGAGTAAGAGGGAAATTTTGGATTTTAAAAGCTAGACGTTTTGTAAAATCTGTGCTACATGATTGTAGATTTTGTAAAAAATATAATGCTAAAGCTGGGCACGAGATATCGGCTCCTGTTCCTGCTGACCGAGTGCAGAAAGCTCAACCATTTGAGGTAAGTGGCCAAGATTTTGCTGGCCTTTTGTATTTAAAAGATGGTACAGAAGTGTATATTTCACTGCTTACCTGTGCAGTGACTCGAGAAGTCCGTTTAGAATTGTTATCAAATTTAAGTACAGAGTGTTTTATTGAAGCACTGCGTAGATGTTTTGCACCTAGAGGTATTTGTAGAGTTATTTATTCTGATAATGCTAAGACCTTTAGAACTGCTGATCGTGAATTAAAATATTTGTATAAATTGTGTAAAGATGAAAAGGTTTTAAATTTCCTTGGGAAAAATGGGTTTGAATGGAAATTTATTGTAGAAGGTACTCCTTGGTGGGGTGGATTCTGGGAACGCTTGGTATGATCTGTAAAAACTTGTTTAAAACGTATCTTAGATAAAGCTTCTTTATATTATCAAGAACTGTATACTATTTTAGTTGAAGTTGTTATTAATTCTATAATCTGTGTAGTCAATGAACCAAATGAGCCTGATCCTCTTTCACCATCTCATTTTATAACCGGACCTAGATTGACTGTTTTACCTTCTCCTGAACCTAAACTAAAATCTACAAGATCTCAGTTGATTAAAAGATGGAAGCATAGGCAATTATTATTAGAGCATTTTTGGAAAAGGTTTTATAAAGAATATTTGTTAGAATTAAGATCAGTCACGTTTTCAAAAACCCCCCCAAAATTTTCTCGTGTTTAAAATTAATGATGAGTACTTGTATGAGAAGACAATGTGAAACGTTGTAACTGGAAGTTAGGTAGGATTAAGATATTATTTCACGGAAGAGATGGTAGAATTAGATATTGTGAGATTCACTTGGATAAGGGTGTTATTAAAAGACCAATTAAAGACTTTATAATCTTGAAGTTCAGTAAAATTTTACGGATGCATGGGGGAGAGTGTTAAATATAAGTTTATGACTATGTATCCTCGGATCGCCAATAGATGGCAGTAGTATTTATTTGTAAAAAGAAACCGTGATGTCATAATTATGTATATGTATCAGTTCGTCTTTGGTGTTCGTCAATAAATGTTGTGTGAAATAATGCTCTCTGTTTATTACTTTAAGTTCGATCCAGTCTGATTTATTGGAGACTTACATATATTTTGTTTACCGAGTTTAAGGTTCCTAAATAAAATGTATTTTGATGATTATTTAGTTTGAACATTCAAAAATTGGTACGGCACAGCTACTCCTGCTGAGAAATTTCAGGAATAAAATGCTGTTTGCAACAGCTAAGCAGCTATTGGAAGGGAAAATTTGACAATAGAACTAATAATCATACGATGTAATATGTCATGAAGAAGTACAGCAGCATGGTTGATACTAAATAATTATAAATTTGCATACCGTTACTGTAACATATAACTGCCCCATTGTAATTGTAGAGCACTTTGTTGTCACAAATTTGCAATATCATTCCATGTTTTGGTGGCATGCGAACGTTACCAGAGCATGTGAAATGTCTTAGTTGCCCTTCGGCGATAATTTGATGGACGGTAGATGTTTCTCGCTAACTGGAAAATAATGGTTTTAAGTGCATGTGTGGTTTCTTGGTCAGCAGTACAATCAGTAACCAACAGTGTAAATCAAACGTTTATTTCTTTACGTTTTCTCTAAAACGAAAATACTCCGGGAGTTTTCTGAAATTATCTTGTATCATACCTAAAGTAGGTTATATATATAAACCAGAAATTGTATACATATAATACTGTTTTGGAACAGTAATTTGAATCCAATTAAATTAATTAATACCAGTGAATAGAGGGTAAAGCTTTAAAGCAAATTTTGGACATAAGACCAAGAAGGTAAACTATTTTTCAAGTAAATAAGACATATAAAATTTATTTTTATTTCAAGTAATTACAATATAGAAAAATAGTCTCCAGTTTAATTTATTACAATTTTTTTAGTGCTGTTAATCTACGAAAGCAAATAAATTTTCGACTGTGATTATTAAAGAAGAAGAAAGATCAAAACCATTTGAAAAGACTCAGTCTTTGAACACTCTAAAACTGTCGAAAAGAACTCTCTCAATAATAAAAAATTTTCTCTGAAAAATGTTTATGGTATAAACAACTTTTAAAGCTTGTTAAAATAAAATAAGAAATATTTTTTTATGGATAAAACTTTAAAGTAAATGGCGCTGAATACTGTTATTCTAAATAAACTATTAACGTAACTACTATAGCAAAGGGACATTTCTCTTGCGTGTGTTTTCTTTGAAATAAGGAGTAGTTATTCTTTAGTAAAAACATGTTTTAAGGTATAGTTGAAAATCTTTAAACTTTTAAACAATAAAACTTTTTATCCATACTAAATTAATTAAATTAGTATTTATACTAAGGATTCGAAAAATTGCCAGTTTAACATTTTAATTTCACTTAACTACCAGTTCTTAAAACATTAAACGTATTAAAATGCCAGAAAATGTTGTATATAATTAACAACGAAGAAATTTAAATTCAGGTATAAATCTCTAACGAGATTTGAGTCACTATTATTTCCACATTCTCCTGGTGAGATTAAATTTTTCTATCAATGTAGTATCAGCAGAGCATAGTATTGTATTTTTTTATCAAAAAATAACAAAGAATAAAGTTGCTGCAATTAATGTCTGCGGTATAACAGGCAGATAGAGTTGTATCATTCTTGCGGCACGTAAAAAAGAATAATGATATATATCACCGAGATAACATGATAAGATAATAATCTTTATGATACCGGAGATAGATTATTAGATAGGCTTATTGAGTCACGTGAGAAGCTATTTCAGATTTCTTCTTTCCCTATAAATAAAATCAAAGTAAAAAGCTTCTTTATCTACTATATATTATCATATGAAAAAATATATGAGATGTACAATCACTTCTATCAAAAACAAATGTCCCCTGTCTTTCTTTATCGCGAGTAATCAGGATGAAAAATTTCTTAATTGAGGACAAAATTGTATTGATAGGAATTAAGTGTCTTTTCGTTTCCAGTGGCAGGAAACTTGACAAAGTGAGTAAGAAATAAACAGAAACAAAGAAGGAAACACAAAAAAGAAAGTCACTTTCTTATTCGACTTTTTGCCTTGAATTGAGTTACAAAACGTATGACATGTTCAGTTATTAAATAAAATATAAGAAACGAATAAAATTCTATTCCTGAATGCTGTTTAGCCAAATTTTCCCCGATATTATTCACTTCACATTATATAAAATTTAGTCTTTCATAAATTAAGATTTTTAGAGGTATTCAAAAGTTTTATGAAACAGCAGATTACATGCTAGCTTCTTGTTATTGTGAAGATAAGCTGCACTATTAATATATGACAATATAAAAAGAAATAAAAACTTGTACTTCTTAAATGTTAGATTGCACATAAAAATTGAGCATATTTTATGGAAAAGCTTTTAAGGTTAATAATAATAATAATATATCTGCAGGCCAGAACAGTATATGTTTATAAAGATTTATGCGCTAAAAATTATACTTTTATTACATTCCATACCTTAATATTCTATTATTTTGTTTTTGCATTCAAAAACCTTTATAAATGTAAATTTCTGAAAATATATATATATATTTTTTGACCCATGCATTAAAATGGCAATGAAAGAAACTTTAATTCCTTTTTGACGGAGAGATATTCCAGGAAAATTAAAAGCAAAGAGCTAAATTTCTAGTTTATTAAAGTATCATCTAGTTTACTAAAGTATCTAGGTTTCTAAAGTATTATCATATTTAAATTTCGAAACATTTTTAAGATGAAATTATACAAACCAAATCAACTCTTCCAAAACCACCGACTCCTAAGGTCGTTATTATTTCCAAATCCTCCAGACTGAGATCTTGAAACTCGTTCTTTTCATTTTCAGTTTGATGGTACCTTTAAAAGATCAATGACAACAATAATTAACTATAGTGATATTAATGAACTAATACCAAAAATGAGTAATTAATCAGTAATTAGCAATTATTAAGAAAAGCGATTTGTAAAAAACTTGTTTAGCTAATTTTAAACGTAACTTGCTCATTGCTGTGATATTCATTCTTTCGTTCACCGTTATCAAGCATATCGGGCAACTTTCTAACCAACGGAAAGTAGATATAATCTTCTAGTATGTGCTACCGTGATTTAACTTAATTAAAGCAGTACTTAGAGAATATTTAGATGGTCAAAAATGTCTATATCGATACTAAAATGTAGTCTATACATGATCACAATGGTGGGTACTTCAAAGGTTATTTTACTATTGCGTTTCAGTATGTCATATAATATATAATTCATAATAATTTTAAATTCCATATATAACACTTAGCATTTCAAAATAAAAAAATTAATTAGTGTATCTGTTATGTAGAATTATGTGGGCTTCAGGGTTAATTTTATCCGTATATTGATTCTATGACAGGAAGGACGAGCAAATGGGGATATGAGTGAATAAGTTGTAGACGACGGTGGAAAGGTAAATGGAATGTGAATAAAGCACCTTTTCGCCTCCTGAAGAGAGCTCGAGAGAGAATTCCTTCTGCTGCCTTAATGTGCAAAGTGGTTTCGAGACACGGGGAGCTGGTTGAATAGAAATGGACTTGTGCTTTGAAAGAAAACACTTCCTAAAGCGTGAATTGTGCGAAAGCACAGAAGGGAAAGTTAAAAATATTGTAAACGGGAACTTTATAAGAAGTCAGCGATAACAGTAGCTTTGAGAAAAACGAAGGATTTTCTAGGAACATGGAGCCATTTTATTGTTTAAATGGTTTTTGGACTGTAAAGAAAACAAAAAGTAGAGAGACTGTCTACTAGACTTATTTTTCTCAGAAGACGTTTTGTCGGGAGTTTCCGACGGCGCGATGATGAGCGAAATACGCTAGTGGCTTTTTCTTGAGGCAAAGTAAATAATATGGCGCATAATCTTAAATAGATGCGTAAATCTTAAACTAAAATTGATTTGAAAATGTTCTGGGCTGACTGACATTGACCAGTTAAGTTCACGTGAGGCGTGGTTGGATTAAGATAGGGCTTATAATTAATAATTAGCTTAAATAGGAAAGGTATTGTCTGAAAGGAGATATTTATTTTTTTATTTGGATGAGGAGAGAAAAAGAAGTTAAGGGACAGTGGAAAGAGATCAGAAAGCTGGAAGGATATATTCTAACAGGTGTTCTTAAGCAATGAAAAGAAAAAGAAGAAAGAAATAAAGAATTGCAGATGATATCTAATAGGAAGTTGTGTTGGAATGAAAGACCGCGATCAGATTAGTGATGTGAGGGTTCTCAAAATGGCAGGAAATAAAAAAATTTATTGGAAGTGAAATCATTTCTAAAGCAAGTTTCTAATTTTCTTCTTTCTAATTTTCCGGTCTAACGGTGATCCAATTTTACAGACATTTAAGAAAAGGCAGAGATGAAGGTTCCTATCTGACGGTGATAAAGCGTTCCAGGATGACGCAGATTTAAAAAAGGACGGGGAAATGAAGGTTGCCGTCGTTAGTACCAGTTTTTACAAACATTTCAGAGAACACTGAGAGTTGAAAGTTCCTGTATGAAGGTGATAAAGTTATCCAGATAACTAATCTTTTGAAGAGAGACTGTTTCCAAACAGTCTTCGTGACCCGAAATTCTGCGTCTGATTGGGAGGTGATGAATGACATCCAGGGTGAAAGCTCCCATCTACAACATCTTATTTTATCTGTAATACTTACTCCTTTCCGAGTGTCTGCTATTCCAGTTCGCCAAATTCTATCGGGTGTTTCAGCTGTGTGACTGTGAGAAATATGTTTGACAGCCGTGCATAACGTTCAGGTCTACTACATGATATACATAGACTGTTAAGGACTAATACCTGGCGTGTCAGGGAACACGAGTCTTGCTTTTTCAGAGCCTCGATGTCTGCTGATGTAAATACTCCATTTCCTTCTTGCATGTAGTAATGGTGCCAATATGTAAATATTTAGGAGTTTTGCTAATAGATTAGGTTAAAGTCATTATTTATATATTTATGAGAAGTTAAGGGACAGTGGAAAGAGATCAGAAAGCTGGAAGGATATATTCTAACAGGTGTTCTTAAGCAATGAAAAGAAAAAGAAGAAAGAAATAAAGAATTGCAGATGATATCTAATAGGAAGTTGTGTTGGAATGAAAGACCGCGATCAGATTAGTGATGTGAGGGTTCTCAAAATGGCTATGCTATTAAGATGGAACTTATAAGAAATGAAAATATTTTTGCAGATATGATTTTGTGCTTATCTATCTAGTATAATACAGTTCAAGAACTTTAAACTGTGTAATCATATTGAACCTAGGTTAACTGTTTGCGGAGGTACTTGATTGGTCCTTTGGAAATGAGATTAAAGCTGTGTTCTTTCAGCTTTTGTAGCTGATTGGTCAGCGCGCTTAATAAGTTCCTCTACACAACGTACGTTCAGTTTATTGCAAAGTGCTTACATCGTATGTGTTGTTGCCCAGACGGTATAGTGGTTAGGGGAGCCTATTGCGGTACTGAAGGGCCCGAATTCGAATCCCAAAGAAGACCTGGATGATTGTAAATATATAGTGTAGGTGCGGCATGGAGGCACTCTAAATATGCGGCGAGCCGAAAGTCCTCTCGTGTAAATTGGTGGAAGGGGAGAGGGGATGACAACAACAACAACAACAATTGAATGTGTTATTAAAAAAGAAGAATGTGATAATAGGTACGTTACATATACATGCTACAGGTAATTTAATAATCAAAGTTAAATAGTATATTTTATAGGGACACAAAAACATATCACACTTTGTACGAGCATACCAACAATATTGGATATTTACGTGAGATAAACAACGCTATTATATATACTTGAAAGCAGTGGAACTGTCATTTCCCTTCTTATGTCACAGCTTACTGTAATTAGTTTTGATATGTATATTATATATAATATCAGTTTAATTATTTCAAGCTAGTCAATACTTTTGCATTTTTTGCAATACTGCGAGTCATGAACTATAATGTTTAGCGCAGGTTTGATGATGCATTTGCGTATGAATGCATTCGAAACAGTACAGTGCAAATAACCGGTCTGTTTCCAACTACACAGTTCCCCACACTTAGGGCGGAAGTGATGAAGATACTTAGCGGACAAACCGTGACCTGTTAGCTAGTGTGTTAAACATTATGATTTGTAATTGGCAAATTAATTCTTTATTTTACACAAGGAAGTGTGCATTGTGTGACTAGTATCACTTTGATTACAAATACATAGCCACTTATGTGTATACAAGCTTATAGGTTTCGTAGCACGTTTTATAAGATGACAGCCAGGCGGTCGTTCTGCGATGAATTGTAAGTTAATGCAGAGTGATTATAAAAGAACCCCCAAGCCTGGTGGCCTATCCACTCAACTGATCGAAATGAAATTTCAAATATTGTTATTTGAGGGTATGCACTCAAGATTGTGATGATTCAAAACAATATAGTTCTTACGGTTCGAATGGCAACACCCATGTTTTTCCTCCTCAAATTAATCAGAGCACTGAAAAACCATACAGGGCGTTGGAACGATACACATAAGACGAAAATTTACCGCGTAAAACATTTGCAAAGTAGAACATTGTGACAGCCCAATAAGAAAACATGAGAGGAAAGCGAGAAACATTTGGAACTACAAGTTTTCAATGTACCCACCATCACATATGATAACACATTATATGCGAGAAACTGTTGATAACAATGAAAAATGCAACACTGGGGGAAGAAGCTGTATAGCATCACGTTTAATGGCATCTTTCAATTCTGACAAATCTTGTAGATTTTATGTGTACACCTTAGATTTTTGATAATCCTAGAACAAGAAATCCATTGGAGTCGCGGTGGTTATGGAACTACAAAATTAAAGGAAGAAAACTCTATCATCAAAAAGCTGTTTTAGCACGTGCCGAACAAGAATGGTGACGCTTGGAGGAGTACCATTTTACATCCATACAATGTCATTTAACGACATTTCGCTATTGCAGTTCTCAAATTATGTAATTTTGTAAGAGTGTTACGTAGCAAGCACTTGTGATAGATCACATTTTCTTAAACGCGGAAGTGACCCTTTCAAAGAAGTACGGACTGAGAACGGATGTACTTCCAATGCCACAGTCACTTCAGCTTTGTGTAAAGTCGCTGGTGCCATATCGTGAGGATTTTCATCAGCGCAGTGAACGCAGTTCTTGGATTTTATGTTCCCAGGTAAAGAGAAAAGCGCCTTACCCATCCATAATATCCGCAGCGGCTACCTGCTATTTTCATCATATCTGACGAAAACATTCGCAGATTTGACACGCTGTTGCTCGTCTCCAGGTTGCAACATCTGGACTCGCTGGAATCGATAAGAAAACATCCGCAAAACAGAGCACAGATGCTTAGAATACATCCAAATAGTGGGCACGGCTTCTTGAAGTATGCAATGGACCTGCAGTAATCGTTTTATGCACTTCTACAACAACGTCTCTAGGAAAACATGGTTGTCCGGATCGCAGTCTACCAAATGTGCATCCAGTTTCGTAATTTTTTTTATCAAGCCAGGTAGAATTTTTACAGAACATGGTTGTCCTAACGCAGTATTTCCCTGTAAACTCGCACTTAATCGGCAGCCTTTCCACCGTTCAGATAAAACAGCTTTATCAATTCACATGGTTGTTTGCCTGTAGTGTCATTTCGTTAGCCCGCTCGAAAACCTAACTGAAGAAATAATCTTCTCACACTGCTTAATAAAGATTTTTCTTAAGCAATGCTTTGCACATGGTGTTTTGTGATTGCTGTTTATACTCTTTATCCCTGTGAATGAGGCACGGCAATTTTCGTCATACGTGTATCGTTCCAACCACATTAATGGCTTTTCAATGCACGGAAGCAAGAAAAAA